GCGTGACCATCCCCCCTGGGGGGTGATTTCTCGCTTTCTGTCTCTATGTCTCTCTCTGTCTGTCTGGCGAGCACATGTGCCCTATAGTGAAAAACCTCTCCAAAAAAAAAAAACACAGGAGTTTTAAAACATCTTAGATGTTAATATTCAGACATATAAACAATTGTTTCGATTGATTGTTTCCAAACTCTCCTTTTATCATTCATTATCAAGGACTTAACACAGTTAGCTACTTTCTCTATTCCTATTTTTGTCCATTCTGCTTTGGAGTTTACAGGATAATTGTACATTTTTATTTGAATACATTTTTTTACCTTCTTTTACGTTATAAAATATGACGTTTACCACTTTCTTTTTGTTTTTTTAATAATTGTTTTATTTAACTTTATTTATTTATTTATTTTAATTTGACCAGAAAGAGACAGAGCAAGAACAAGAGAGAGAAAGTGAGAAAGCAAGCCATCAGGTCCAAGACTTGAACCATGGTCAGCCATGTGGGAGTCCAACACCCTTAACCACCACACCATCTACCAGCTCCTCTTTGTTTTTATTTTTAAATAATTATTTTATTTAGCTTTATTTAAATTTGACAAGAAAGGGACAGAGCAAGAGAGGGAAAGTGAGAAAGCAAGGCACTAGGTCTGGGACTCAAACTGCAGTTGGCCACGTGGGAGTCCAGCTCTCTTAACCACCACACCACCTGCCGCCCCCACTATAGAGGACATGAAAATCACCTCTTTGCATGTAGTATAGTAAGTAGGTTAATAGTAAGAGCGCCAAAGATTCTCAGAGTGTTGTAATGTTTTTCATTTCCTTTTATGTTACCCTTTAACAGTTAGACCTGATAATTATACACCAGCAAGTGGAGCTTCTTGGAAGTAAGTACTTTATATTCTGCATTTTTTAGAACTGTTGAAAAATATTTTGGTTTCTTTACATCTAAATATGTCATAAAAATAAATTTAAATGTACATAATATACTTAGATCAAAAGGGGTACAAGGTCCTTTTTTAACTAAAAGCTAAACGTAAAATTATTAGTCTGATTTAGATAAAAATAAAAGCATAAAAACTCTCCAAGCCTTTGCTGATATTGCCATTAAAATTCTAACACTAGGGGGCCAGCAGGTGGCATGATGGTTGAGGTGCCAGACTTTCACATGGTCAACCACGGTTCAAGTCCCGAACCTGGAGGCTTTCTTTCTTTTTTTTTTTAATTATTTTTAACTTTACTTATCATTATTATTATTTGCTTTAATTTGGCCAGAGAAAGACAGATAGAGAGACCGAGAGAGTGAATGTGAGAAAGCAAGCTGCCAGGTCCGAGATTCGAACCACAGTCAACCACATGAGTCCAGCGTCTTTAACCACCATGCCACCTGCCGGCCCCATATTTCTCAAATATATCAAAAATTGAAATAAAAAGTAGAATAGCACACAGTTATAGATACATCACCTAATAGACATTTTAAAGATTTTTATTTATTTATTTTACTTAATTTATTATATAATTATTATTATTTTAGAATTATTTATTTAATTTTATATATTCATTCATTCATTGTAATTTGACCAGAGAGAGAGAGAAACAGAGACAGAGAGGAGGAAAGTGAGAAAGGAAGGTCCCGGACTCAAATCATGATCAGAAAGGTAAGAGTGTCCAACACCTCAACCACTACACCACCTGCTGACCCTGTTTTTATTACTTATTTTTAATTTTACCACAGAGAGAGAAAGGGAAAGTGCGAAATCAAGCTGTCTGGACTGGGCCCCGAACTGCTGTCTGCCATTTGGGAGTCCGGTGCCCTTAACCACCACGCCACCTGCTGGTCTGAAAATTTTATTTAAAGTATTTATTAGGTGGGGCCGGCAGGTGCTGTGGTGGTTAACGGCACTGGTCTCCCACATGGCCAACCACGATTTGAGTCTTTCTCTCTCTCTCACTCTCTCTGGAAATATTAAAATAATAATAGTAATAAATAAGCTTAAATAAAATAATTATTTTTTTTTAAATTCTTACTCTTATAATAAGTTATTCCAGTGCCTTCTAAAGCAGTGACACAAGGAATCTTCAACCTGCTCATGGAAATTATACATTATGATAAAAATGATTCATAAGCTTCAAAAACCTGTGCACCAGAATACATTTGTATTTTAATTCCATTTTTTTCATTAAAAAAATGTTTAAGTCCTTTCATAGAATTACTACGTACATAATACTTTCTTCCTTAGAGCATCAATTCTTTATTTGAAAAGTGGTGCTCCAGTTTTTTAAATAGGTCATGTATCTGTTATCAGAACTGATTCCATGTTCTCAGAGTGTACTTTGGTTTCCATGGCTAAGTCATCAAAATGTAGAGGATGAAGGTATTTTGTATGAAGAAGAAGATGCATACAAATCAGTCCGTCGCAGTTTCCTTTCAATATCATCTCCCCTCCCCTTTACTCATTTAAAGTTTTTGATAGTGAGAAAAGCATTCTTTTGTGACCTTTGTTTGCTCCCGTAGTGATACTTGGCACTGAGACCTCCAACAAATATGAGATTAAAAACAGCGTGGGACAAAGAATTTACTTTGCAGTGGAGGAAAGCATCTGCTTCAATCGCACTTTCTGTTCCACGCTGCGATCTTGCACCCTGCGGGTCAGCGATAACTCAGGGCGAGAGGTGATCACAGTCAACAGGCCCTTGAGGTGCAACAGCTGCTGCTGCCCTTGCTACCTACAAGAGGTTAGTCACTGGCTCCCTGTGTCTGGTTTGGTTTGGTCTGGAAGGTTAGCAACTATTTCTGTAAAATGGCGTTCATCTGGAGCCAAGGGGCAATTCATCTTTCAGTGGTTCAAACTAGTGTGTTACTCTTTTAGGATAAGTGCGCCTCGAGGATTTTGTGATTCTCAAAAATGTTTTCCTTTCTAACAAAAACGATGGCAGCGTCTGTGATGTTGATTGGTAAGGACAGCTCACGCGTCGTGGAAGTGAGCCACATCTTTCTGCTTTCTAGATTAGCCACGTAATTGCAGTCTCCAAGTCCCTCTACTCCGCAGAGCTTTTGTCTTCTCTAACGGTAGCAAAGTCCTGGAACGCTAAGTGATGTTACACTCCTCGAGGTGTTCTCTTTTTTTGTTTTTTAAGAATTCTTTTATTTGGGAAATCACATTTTGTATGCTGTGACAATGCTCAGGGAATGAATATAAATTAATTAACCTTAAAAAAATGTTTCAGAAGAAAATTAGTATACTTGTAACAAGAAGAAAGAAAAAAAGAAAGAAAGAAAGAGGGAGGAAGGAAGGAAGGAAGGAAGGAAGGAAGGAAGGAAAAGAATTATTTTATTTATTTACTTTAATTTGACCAGAGAGAGACAGAGTGAGAGAAAGAGAGAGGGAAAGTGAGACAGCAAGCTGCCAGTTCCAGGACTCAAACCATGGTCGGCCATGTGAGAGTCCAGTGACCTTAGCCATCATGCCACCTGCTGGCCCCTATCAAGGTGTTCTCTTGATTAGGTGTTATTACTTTGTACAAAACCCCACATTCCATTTACCCATTTATGACCAACTTCAAGGTTTAGCAAAGGCAATGTGATGGTTCTAGAAGGAGTAATTCAAGTATTTTATTTTAATATACAATAGATTTGAATTTTCATCGTTTAATAGGCATACGAAAAACTTTCATTGATGTGATGCAGTTAAAATAATATAGAACTTTTGCTTACTTTGCTGGCTCTAATATTAGAGCTAAAAACCTAATCTTCGCAGTTATGGGCTAAAAAGATTAGGTTTGCTCTTCACATTTACAGTTAAGGAAACGGTCTCAAGGAGTAGTGGTGAATTACCTATGATCCCACATCCAAGAACTGCCAATAGCTTCTCTATTGAGAACTTGCTATAGTTCTGGCCTTAGGATGATGGGAAATAAATGTTAACATGGAAAATCAGTATTTAGGGAAGTTTTTAACAATGTATATTTAAGCTAATTTATATGTAAGCACCTGCCTAAATAAGAAGGCTCAAATACTCATACATGTAGCCCAAGAATTTCTATCCTCCCACTGAGGACATTTAAGATTAATATGCCCCTGGCTATTAGCGTAATGGCTATGTTGCTGAACTCCCATGTAGTCGACCATGGTTTGAGTCCCAGACCTGGTGGCTTAAACTCACACCGGATGCATGTGCGTGTGAGCCCAGGATCCCAAGAGGAGAATGGAGGAGAAGGGATGGAGGCGTGTCCATCCCCCCTGGGGGGGGTGATTTCTCGCTTTCCGTCTCTCTCTGTCTCTCTCTATCTTGGTGGCAAGCGCACGCACCCAATAGCAAAAGAAAAAAAAAAAAACTTTCAAAAAAAAAAAAAAAAGATTAATATGCCCCATGGGGCTGGCAGGTAGCATGGTGGTTAAGGGACCTGGACTCCCACATGGCCGACTATGGTTCAAGTCCCAGACCTGGAGTCTTGCCTTTTCACTCTCTCTCTCTCTCTCTCTCTCTCTCTCTCTCTTTGTCCCTCTCTTGTCAAATGAAAATAAACAAAGTTAAATAAAATAATTATTAAAAAAGATTAATATACCCCTAATGATAAAGTTAGCATAACCATAGAATAGTTACCCAATTTCTAATAATCAATGTTTTATTTCATAGTACCCCTATGTCCCACAAATCAAATGTAAGATGTACATTGATATTCATAAATAACTTTCAAAATCTGGCCCAAATCAAACCAACTACTTTAAAAGTGATCCCCAAGACAAATCCATATAATTCTAAGCAATCAAGTTCAAATCACCTTTGTCTATCAAAAAACACTACAGATATGCACCTGCAACTATTGGACCAAATAAGAAAAATGAAAATGAGATAAGATCGTGAAGACCTGACTTGGTTAAAAATTAAACTCTTGGGGTCAGCAGATGGCATGGTGGTTAAAGGCATTGGACTCCCACATGGCCAACGATGGTTCAAGTCTCAGGCCTGCTGACTTCCTTTCTCACTTTCTTTCTCCTTTCTGTCTCTCCCTGGTCAAATTGGAAAATAATAATAAATAAAGTTAAAATAAAATAACTCTTTAAAAATTAAACTTTTTTTACACGCACTCTCAACTTCTCTTACAAAATAATTTTATTTGGTTTGTGTAAATATGTAAGGGTAATGGGGTCAAAAACGAAGGTAATGGCTAAAAATGCAACTGCCGGTCTTTCTCACTTTGAAAGATATGAACCAGCAATCAAATTGGTGTTTAATAACTATAACTGTGCAAGAAGCATTTGTTTAAAAACATGAAGAAGCTGGAAGTTGACAATCTAGAGTAAACAAAAAACTCATTTATGCCTAATTTAGTGAAGGAGGGCTTAAAACAGATGCAGGCTGGGACCAGCAGTTAGCGTAATGGCTATGTCGCTGGACACCCATGTAGTCGACCACAGTTCATGTCCCGGACCCGGTGGCTTAAACTCAGGTTGGCACGTCTGGCTGCATGCCCAAGATCCCGAGAGGAGAATGGAGGAGAAGGGATTGCAGTGTGGCCATCTCCCCTGTGGGGTGATTTCTCTCTTTCTGTCTCTCTGTCTCTGTCTCTTTCTGGCGAGCTCACGTGCCCTATAGCAAAAACCTCTTAAGAAAAAAAAATCAGATGTAGGCTGTGGCAACAACTGAGAGGGAGCAGATCCGAGTTACCCCATGGGGAACAACTTTGCTGCTTAAGCAACTGTTGTGATTGTCCTAAAATGACGAGGAAGCCAGTGTTTCAGAGTCAGAAGATAGTCCTTGAGCAAGCTTTCTTTCCTTTTCTTTTCTTTTTTCCAGAGGTTTTTACTATAGAGCGCGTACACTCGCCAGAAAGACAGCAAGAGACAGAGAGACAGAAAGCGAGAAATCATCCCCGGAGGGATGGCCACGCTGCAATCCCTTCTCCTCCATTCTCTTCTCAGGATCTTGGGCACGCACGCACGTGCACCTGGCGTGAGTTTAAGCCACTGGGTCCAGGACTCGAATCGCAGTCAACTACATGGGCGTCCAGCGACATAGCCATTACGCCATCTGCTACTTTCTTTAAAGGAAGCAGGACATAGACTTTCAGTGCACAGGGCCAAATGTGTGTCTTTACAGTAGGTCCCTTTGTTCTGTAAAACATCAAAAATACATTGGTCTGCATTCTTAGAAACAGATCAATGAAATGATCTGTAGACCAGGAAAATAATTTCATAACACTGTATTGCTTAATGTAACCTGACATTACAATAAAACGAAAAGCGAATAACCTTAGAAAATCTTTATTACTATTATCTCTTTGTCCAGTTAGAAATCCAAGCCCCTCCTGGTACTATCGTGGCTTATGTGGCACAGAAGTGGGACCCCTTTCTGCCTAAATTTACAATCCAAAATGCAAACAAAGAAGACATCTTGAAAATCGTTGGTCCTTGTGCAACATGTGGTTGTTTTGGCGACGTGGATTTTGAGGTAAGACTGACAAAATGAAGAAAGTTTTCACTTAGGTCTAAATTTTTTTAGCAATACAATTGCATTTTAAAAATGCTTTAATCATGGAATATCCCTGAAATAAATGTAGAAAATAATGTTTTTGTGAAATAATGTAACAAATCCGTATTATACATGCCAACAGTCTGAACTCAAGATTTCAGAGATACTAAGGCCAAGAACTTAATAAATAACAACCCTGCTATGAAAATGGACCACCTTGGCTTGACGTCGCTCATTGACCAGTGCAAGTATTATTCGAAGTCATTTTCACAAATTGAATAAAATGATAGTTATCAACTAGAACTTCCTGAAAGGGATTTAGCTAAATTCACTTTTATGTCCTTGATGGCCAAAACTACTATGTCTCCTCACTTACAACAATTAATGTCTTGTGATATTTTTTTTTTTGAGAAAGACTTTTGCTATAGGGCATGTGTGCTCGTCAAAGAGACAAAGTCCCACCCCCAGTGAGATGGCCACACTGCAATCCCTTTCTGTCCATTCTCCTCCTGGGATTTTGGGCATGCACACACAGTTGCTGTGAGTTTCAAACTTCTGGGTTCAAGACTCAAACCATGGCCGGTCACATGGGAGTCCAGCGCCCCAACCACTACATCATCTGCTGGCCCCAATATCTTGTGACCTCTCAGTGTGTCCAAGTTTCTGAACACTACTTTTTAAATATATGTATGTCTTTTTAAATGTATGCTTATTTTAGATAACCAATATTTTCTGATTTAAAAAATAAAAATCAGTGGATCCTATTTTGATTTCTGTGGAATTATAGCACACATAGTGAATATACATACAGTTTAAAATCACCTCAATGTCTATCTTCTTTCCTATATCTTTTGTGGTCAGATCTCATTTCAGCAGCACACGCTATTAAAATATTCCTAATTTAAAAGCAATGTTTTAAAGACTTGCCAAATTTGTTTTGTAGAACAATCTACTCTCAGGCCAGCAGGTGGTGTGGTGGTTAAGGCGCTGGAATTTCCACACAGCCAACTGGAGTTCGAGTCTCAGACCTGGCGCTTGCTTTCTCACTCTCCCTGTCTCTCTTTCTCCATCTTTCTGAATGTTAAAAACAATAGATAGTGCAAATTCAATCTGTGGCACTATGAACTATCTTAACAGATTCTCAGGCAAACACCTTAAGCAGAGGAGATGGCCTAACTTAACATGTATGTTTATTTTTCATTTGTTCATTCATTTTATATTCTATCCAGCACATTCAATTTTTAGGACTTCAGGGAACACTGTTCACGCAGAGTACAGTGTAAGTTTTGCAACGTGAGCTGTCCTAATGCCATTCCATTACCCCGATATTGGACATAACTTTCCTAAGAGTAATATAATAGAGGAGAACTTAAGCATACGTGTTTTAATACCCATAGAGATGTCTTAAGTAACTTTCTATTTCCATCTTCTACCACAATATGGAAAGTAGATGTTTCTATTGAGTCACCTTCTGCACCAGAAAGGAAACAGGATAAACAAATGAATAGTTAATAAAATCGAATTATAGACTTCTTTTTGGAAAGAACTAGTAGATATTGATGTTGAACTGGTTTCAACTGCCTATGTTGAAACCTAAATTAAACAGAGGGGTTTTTTTCATACAGAAACAAGACTTAGAGGTAGTTGGAAAAGAACAACCTTCACAAATGTCCAGTATAATATAAAGATTTAACAAGGGTCGAAAATATGTCATGCTTCAGTAATTATAAAATCTTAGTGATAAGAATGAAAAAGTTTACCAGTTGTACCGAGTCATCAATTTCTTCTAAAATCTTTCTCAAACATGTCTTCTTTTTTTAAAAAAAAAATAAGGAATTGAGGTGTAACATCTGGGCCTCACGGAAAGGAATTCCCTTCTTGGGTAGAGATATCATTGAACTGTGTACCTGCTGCCACCTTGTGGTAGTCTGGCGTTAATTAGTTACTGCTATTATATCCTGCACACAAAATGAAAGAAAAAGGAGTTGCGATGGATCCGAAAATGGCCAGAACAGCAAAATTGCTGCAGAGCGAGATGAAATGCTAAAACTAGCAACCTTCATTTGTAGAGAAAAGAACAACATGGAATCGGCTCTTGGAGCTGAGGGACAAAATAATTCACGTTTCTCTCACGAAGCAAGCCTATTGAGAAACGTAACACTATCTCTTTGCGCCTTTAAATTTAACACTATTTTTCTTTTTGAAGGTGAAAACCATTAACGACAAGCTTACAATAGGAAAGATTTCGAAGTACTGGTCAGGATTCGTAAACAATGTCTTCACAAACGCAGACAACTTTGGGAT